ATTGATTGAGAAATAAGAATTTTGAGGAATTTTGTATGAAATGTGGGTTTTTATTCAAAGTTGTGATGAATTATGGAATAATAGAATGATTGTAATGTTAATTTATTGGGTTTATAAAAAAAATTGTTTTTTTTTTAATTGATTTTTTCATTTTTTTTGGGATGGGGTGTGAATGTGTGATGGTGATTGGGTATTTGGATTTTTATATGAGGTTGCACCAAACTTATATTAGTAGTTCAACTATAAACAAGAGATGTCACTCAAACAACCAAAATGTTTAACTTGTGAGTCGTGTGACAAGGTCATATTTGACTAAATTCTAATGGATTTTTTTTTTAATAGCAAAAATAATTCATTAATTAAAAGTCATACGACATTTACAATAGAGATTCGACGTTAACAAATACATAAGATACTGAATCAAATAAATTTTTTCGTTATAAAAACTACGATCGTCGAGTAGATCTTGCACTGTGGAACATCTCCCGCTTATATCGCTGGAAAATACAGCCTTGTTGGAGAGACAATCTAACGATCTTTTGTAGCCGTGAGGATGTTTTCCTTTTGATTCATCTGTTTGTATTCGAAAACTTGATAACTTTTTCACCAATGAAATAATTTCACAACAATCCATTAGATCTAATATCATGGATTCAAAATTAAGAAATTTCTCCCCCGAAAAGAGGAGATAAACCTTGTCTTTCGAAGGAGGTCGAAAAACACTTGTCTTTCGAAGGAGATCGGAAACCATTTCTTTCGAGGGAGAAAAGTTCCTCCCAAAAGGAGGAAGCATTATTATAAACCTAAGAAACTTTAAAGAAACAAGGATTAGGGCTTTCCACCAGTTAAAATTGATGAAAGCCCCTTCAAAATTCAACAATGGAGGCTAGGGTTTTGGAGAGAGGAAAGAGGAGAACTCTAATGGAATTTGAAGTGTTGGAGTTGTATGTTTTTCCTTATTTTAGAAATTTATTACTCTTTCACCAAAAAAAAAAAAGAAATTTATTACTTTGTTATTACATATGTAATCAAATTAGATAAACAAACAAGCAAAAAATCATGGAATGTAATTACGAGTAGGTTGTAAAAAAATCAAATTAGATAAAAAGGAATCAAGATAACAAAACCAGATCCAATACAATGAAATCAAACTAGATAACAAAATTATATCTGATCTGATAAAATAGATAAGTTTAAATTAAATTATAAGTTTACATAATAATGTTTGGAATTTTTAAAAAATACTTAATGAAATGAACACTCTTTTCAGTATTAATACTTCATATATGTATATAAGACGTATTTGACAATTTTCTTAGGTGAATTGAGGTTTTGTTTTAATTTAATTCCTTAAGGTGGTTGACCTTTTTCTATATCAATGATTAAATTGGTTTCCATTAATTTTGAGGAAATGGGCTTCATACATTCATCAACATCAATCATGTATTTGGTGTCATCATACACAATGGTAAATTGGTAACTAAGGAGTTTCCCAAGAAAAACCTCAAACTTTTGTTGAGATTTTCCATTGTCACCTCAAACAATTTCTAAGTTATAACAAAAAAAACCTCAAACAATTAACATGTGTGAGTACATGAAAGCTAAAGTTTGACAAGGAAGTGACTGGTTGTGTAATCGAAACTTGGTCTAGCTATATTTAGCGTCTTTTGCTAATTTTTTTTTAAAGTGTCCCCACCAAAATTTCACACTTTATATAAGTAGTTCAATTTTAGTTTTGTTATCGTCACATTTTCACAATTTGTTTGTATTAACAGTATACAATTTTTTAGCTAAAATCCACCGAGTATGCATGTTGAAATTAACATGGGAAAGCGACAGTGCAAATATAGGTTTTATTGTTTTGGTAATGTGGTAAATTGTTTACAAACTTGTATTTATAAAAAATTAAGTGTAGTAATGTCACAAGGCCATAATTTGAAAACTTTCCTTGTCATATCACAAAAATTTTACTATAAACAGCTACAAATCAACAATCAATATCACTATAAACAACCAACATCAACGATATGTGATAACACCAATATAGACAACCAATAACAACATCAACAGTGGTGGAGGTAATAACACCACTATAAACAACAATATAAAAAAAACGAATAACTGTGTCGTAATTAATAATGGATTCTCAATATCTTAATTTGACCTTGTGATGTCTAGTTGGTGATTGAAAGCATCTCTAAAGTTCCATCACAGCATACTTTGGCTCATGCGGCCTTGTGCAATTGAATTGTACGTTGGCTTGTTGCAAATGCCCTATCCCTTGGCTTGCTGCTCGATCACGCCTTGTGCCTCTACCTACTACTTGTTCATGACTTATGTCTTGGCTTGAGTTGGCCGCAACGGCGCGCCCTGACCAATACCGATAGCTAAATATACTTTGGCATATCCTAGCTAGCTAGGAGGATGCTTTGCATCGCTTATGTAATCTGTGTAGAAAAAGTAAAAGTTCACGTAGTCACGTACTGAACTATTTTTCATACAAAGCATCATTGATTATCTAATTGTCAACATATATACTTAGGACTACCTAATTTTCATAAGACGATGTTTATTTACATGTTTTATTTCTATTTAGTTTGTAATTAAGCCAGTCTTTAATTATTGAATTATGATATATATAACCCTTAGGGCTATATATAAGTATTAAAATCTATTTTCTAAAATGAAATTAAGTTAGAAATTCATGATAAAATCACACGTAGATCGATGTAATTAATGTTAATTTATCTTCAAAATTTCCTTTTTTAGCTTCTTATACATAACCCTTAAGGTTATGTTTGCCACTTTTCTTTAATTATTCCATGTGAACATAAAATATGAAACAGACAAATCTATTAAACTATTGATATATGATACTCATGATAGACTTAATAGTCAATTAGTGATGATACAGCAAGATGAATAACTTAATTAAGAAGACACGCTAACCTGCTTGACAATGACAAAGATTGTTTGTTGTCATGTAACACTTGTAATAAGCTTGTTCGACTCTACAAATTTGCAACTATTACGTGTTTTGACCTTAATACTAGCTTATTGTGGCCAAAAATAAAAAAATAAGCTGCTCCCAAAAATAAAAAAATAAAAAAGTTCATCTAATAAGCTAATAAGTTCATATGATATGATATTTATAGCCATATAAGATAATTAAATTTAGCAAAAAAAATAGTCCGGATAAATATATATTAAGTTTAGGAATAATAAGGATATATCTAATTTTAATTTATAATATAATTTTGCATAAGTTCTAACAAATTTAAATAAGTTTATTAGTTGACTCATATAAGTTTTTAAAAAGTGAAAAATTAGATAAATAGATCACAAATTCCATATTAATAAAATTTGAAAAAAAAAGGCGTTAGGAACTGAGGATACACAAAACTTTCATATAGTAAAAAAATAGACGAAAACGAAAAATATAAGTATTTTTTTAAATAAGGTTTTAATTGCTAGATGTCATCGTATTAAAGTGCGTGTTTAAATTCAAAGTTTTAAAATTTGTAGTAGTACATACTCTTAATTTATAGAATTTGTTATATACATCCGGGTATATTGTACATCCGAGGTAATTTACTCATTTAATCAACAAAGAGCAAATAATATTTAAATTCATTTGTTGATTGAATGAGCAAATGACCCCGGATGTATGATCCACCTAGGTGTAGATAATTGGCTCTTCTTAATTTATCCTGATTGTCAAATCATGGATGGCAAGATTCATTTCAAATTAATTCACTTGATTTTGGAGTACGTAAATAGATTAATAGACAAAGATATTTTGGCGGGAAGGGTAGAGTAATACTGTACAGAAATGTACACAAAATCTTGGTTGTAATTAAATTGTCCAGCAACCCAGCTTAAGAAGGTGGGGCCAATAACAAGTGCCCAACAATGCAAAATGGCTTGTTAATGCATGCAATATGCAAAGTTTCAAACATTGGATATGTAGTATGGTACAATTAAACAAGTTGCATAGTAATCCTAATAAATGGATATGGTATATTATGACGTGAGTAGAATGTATTCCTTCCGTCTTAATTTACTAGTAGTTTCATTGATTATTTTTTGTGAGATTTTTTAGGTTAAATAATGATCGGAATTTCGGGACAAGTAGAATGAAAAGGAGATCGAGATCGATTTTTATTTTGTAGTGTGATCGACTAATCAATTTATATAGATCAAGTTGTTAATTATTACATGCCACATCAGGTGGATGATTCACATCACTAGAAAATTTAGAATTTCTTTTCTACCTTTACCTATCTACTTGCATTTTATACCACATTAGATTATAATAAAGTTATTGTATATTAGTAACAAAAACTAAGAACACGTCCAAATCATATATGGAGTAATTTGTAATAGTGTCGGAGAATATTACGAGTATTCCTTCCATCCCAATTTACTAGGCACATACCTATAAGTAGATCAGAGTGAAACAAATTAAAATGAGAGTGAGGTGATTGTACGTGACTTAGGCTAAGACCTCATTGGTATAATTAACAACTTCTTAATTTACGCGTGCATGCATAACCTTAGTTTAATTTCTAAGTATAGGGAGTAATTAAACCAAAATTGAAAAAGAGAGGGAAGCAAGATAAGAGAAAAGGAGGGAAACCCATGAATTTAATAAAAAGCCTTTAAGCAGTAGCATGTCTTTGCTCTTTGATTTGCCAAGCAAGCAGAAATAATAATGGCAATCACAATAAATAGAACACCCCTGCAAAATATTTATTACAACCATCCAATATATTCACATTATTTACTACTTATGCAGTCTTATATTTAAAATTTATATTCATATAATATAATTTCAAATTTTCAAAAAATGTAGCAATTATATATATTTATGGTATAAGTCAGAAAATCACGTAAAAAAGAAGTATCTCTGCATGTATTTTAGTTTGAAAAATGAATATAAATTAGGTTAATAAGTCTAGTTTCAAAAGCGTGAACATTTCTTGCTAGTAGAGGTGTTTTTCTGTGAACTCATTTTCTCTTTTGCTATGCTTTCATGTGAACTTGAGTTAACCAACTTTTTTTATCTGTGATTTGCTTCAATTGTCACCTCATCTTCACTTCATACATCCCTTTATATATATTCAATCTCTATTCTTCACTTTCTATTCTCACACCCATAAATTAAGCTACTATATATTCATAAAAGTGAATCGAATTAATTAAAGTTTGAGAGATCGATAAAAGAGACTACGTAACAAGTATAAGAGTAGAAGAAGATCAGATTGAAGAAAGAAGATCATGAAGAGATCGATTGCTCTAGTAGTTCTTCTCATTGTGCTCCTTGTTTTGCCAAACATCACCGTTTCTAGACACATCACTAGACCACGTTTCTGTAAGTATATACTAATATTTTATACAATAACCTATTAATTGTATGTAGTTGTAAGTTGTTATATAACTCATTTGAACTGTACAATATATATTAACGTAATTACGAAGTATAATTATTATGCATGTTACGGTATTATATATGTGATAATATATAGTATGATCTTCTCCGATCCCTACTTTGTATGTAATCTGATTAAATTAGCTAGTTCGACAAAAATACTGTGATACAAATTCGGGTTAAAGATCCCTATATATAGATATTTAAGGGTGATACATATAGTTAATTATGCATGCTACATAGTACATATAGATCATATTATTACATACGTACTTATCATAAATTTATATATTTCTACTTCGTTTTACATAAATTTACTATTCTACTTCGTATTATAAAATTATATAAATTTAATTATTACATATGTACTAATATAAATTTCTTTTCCTGTCTAAACAGATCGCAACGCTCACCGAGCCGCACAAGGAAGAATGAGAGGCAACATGAACCCAAGAGGTAGACCAGCAATGAAGCCTAGAGGGCCAGGACCCGACACCGTTGAAATCGCGGGTTCAAGCTTGCCCGACTGTTCTCATGCTTGTGGTTCATGCTCACCATGTAGGCTAGTTATGGTGAGCTTTGTATGTGCTTCTAGAGAAGAAGCCGAGACTTGTCCAATGGCTTATAAGTGTATGTGTAAAAATAAGTCATATCCAGTTCCTTAAAATTAATCTTTGTAATATTTTTGTAAGGGCTAAATCTAAATTCTTGTCAAGCACTAGCTAGCTACTAGTTCAATGTAACATAGTTTATTCTCATTTTATTTTATTTCTTTTATTGATTATATAGTTCTCTCTTTTAGTAGGCCATTGATGCTACAAAATTTTGTTTGCAACTTGTTGTATGTAAGTTGTAAGGGAAACATAATGTCAATGGTAGCATAAAATTTTGTTTGCAACTTTAATTTGTTCCTTAAATAATTTTCTCATACATAAATGATGCGCCGATGTTTAAAAAAAAAAAAGTCAATGTTAACAAACAAACATGTGAAAATTTGTTACATTCATTTTAATGTGTATATTCAAAATTAAACAACTTTTTTTCACAAATTTAAATAGCATGTAATTACAATCAATATTATTAGTATTGAACTCGATACAAATAAGATACCCATACATAAATAATACGCTATAATTATAGTTTATTTGGTCCAAAACCAATTTATACAACCCCAAGAAACACATCACGCGCTCAATTCATCAATTTTGGAGAAATTTTACAAAATTGGTTCAAAAGCATGATGATAGCCTTTAATTTCGAATGATTTTCAATTTTTTAGGCACAAAATAGGAAAGAGGTTGGGGTGCTTCCCTTAGACTCCACAAGACCTTGGCTGGCCATGTGGGGAGCTGGAAGCCTGGAACCGTCTTTGCAAGCTCTTGACCACAAATGTGATAGGAGTTCAAAATCGTTGTTGAATTGTACCACTCTTTAATTTTACAAAGTTGTGTATGTCTAGTTCCAAACAAGCTTTCATGATCCCAAAGGACACTCCACACGTTCAGATCAAGAATAAAATTGGTCTACAAGTGTAAATTATAGCCTTTAATATTAGACTATTTTCAAGCCTAGAAAGAAAAGAAGTCTACATTTTCTAACCAAAACTCTATGTCTAAATAAGACTATACATATGACTTTTCAACCAAAACTTTATACTTGTATATACCATAATACCCATAACATTAAAACTCATCTACGTCACCAAAAAAAATGTATTTCATTTAAAGATTCGACCTCTTTTCAACTTTTTTTTCCCCGACTCTTTCGAACCCCGAAAGGAAAGCAAGCTTGGAGCAAAGTCATATGTATAGTTTTTTTTCTAGTGAGACAACTAAATGACTAATACAATATGACAGATATTTATTTTAAGTTATCTAAAACTCTTTTCTATAGGGACCAACTAAGAAGATGATTGGGATGTGGAGTTAGGCTGTGGAGGCCGGGCCTCTCCAGTCACCCCTAGTTCACTTTACTTCACTGGAAGAACCTTCTACTACAACGTGCAGATCCTTGTTCCTCGTATTCGGCTTTGGTGGCACACATTGTCTCAAAATCAGGACTAGACGCCAGAAGTGAACCACCTCGCCAAACACCTAATATGGGACTGGATAAGAAGAATGCTATCAGTTAAGTATAATACTATAATTTAGGCATATTAGTGCTTGGAATTTGTAAAAAATAGGAAGAAAATTACTCTTCTTGAGTGGTTATCTTCACTTGGTAATCATCAGGGACTAATGGTCGAAGCTCCTTTTCCCTACAAAGAAATGAAAGAAAAAATCTTCAACATAAACAGGCTGTGTACAATCTATTATGTCGAAGTATAATATAAGAGGCATGGTTCGAGGCAAAGCTTACAATCTCTCAGCAAAATGAGGGAATAAAGTGCTTCCACCAGTCAAAATGATACTGAATCACAGCATTGAAAAGCAAAGTTCATAAAATGCAGTAAAATACAGTAGTATATTACAAAATACAACACTCAGAATTTAAACAAAGAACTTTGCAGAACTTCGGTGACAACCTTTCATATAATACAGGGTGGAGAAGAGGATGACAAGAGTTAACAGAACGAACAATACATTCCGCTAATCCAGCTTGATTCATCCCTGCAAGAACAGTTGACAATTAATGTTCCTAGTTCCTACAATCAAGTTCTCATATTTAAAAATCAAAAAGCATGAGGGCTTGAAACTTAAGAGCTGAGACCCATCCTTAATCATTATAACACACACAGATTACCCAATTCCAAATTACCATCATATAAACAACAATGATTACTTTGAGCATAAATAAAAAGACAACCCTTAAATAAAATCTCTTCAAAATTGCATTTCATTCTCTCTTACAGGCATTAAATTGATCAAAACCAATTCTTTTAAACATTTCTTGAAATAAAAAGGGATTGAGCTAGCAAACGATCCTTCAACCATTTGTCAACAATACAATCAGTACATACTTCAGGACAAACCATTGAAATGTCTTATGTCAGTTATGTCAAAGTAATATGAAAGGTATACAAACCTAAATCTGCAGGACAGAAAATCATCTCTGGGACAAGGAAGCGCTCATTGGTCAAGTTAAACTCCTGCAACCAGCAAATAGACTATAAGCAAGGGATTAAAATTTTTAGACAAGACCGAACTGAAATTATTCCTTTACATTTTTAGTTGGATCAACTTTTTTTCTGTCCTCAAGATCCTCCTCTGCATCATCCGAGGGATCTATAGCCTTTTCCTTATTAGGCATAGAGTTTGGTTCCCCATCATACAGAGTTTGATACCTCAGTGCTTCATTCATGTCTTTTACAAATCCTTTTGTATGGATGATTCCATCAGGAAGGACATATGTACATTTAAAAAGGTTGTCCTTGCCAGACTTCCTAAAAGAACAATCAACTTGGTAAGTCATACGAAGTATTACATAGCATCAGAGGAAAATTCACAATAAAAAAGATATAGAGATAGATTGACCAAAAGGAAACCAAGATTATATATTGTTCCATATTGCAAGATCAACATGTTGCCCGAGGCATGTACTAAATTAAGCTTAAGTGTAGACGACAAAAATAAGGAATTAAGACATTTATCTGAGAGAAAATTTTAATGTCAGACTTTAGCCACAGGAAATCCAATAGTACTATAGAAACTTGATGTCTGAATCATATCAACAAAATTCTATCAAAAAGTCAAGAAGCTAAGGCTTTACGGAATCTGCAAGCTATCCAACCGAAGTACACGATCCTATGCAACAATGTAACTAATTGATCACAATTGTCACTAATGAACACAACACAGTTAACTAACTCATCTCACTTCCTCCTTACTCCCTTCAACACTTGCAAGCCACAATCATCTCATGAACTCATTAGACTGAAAAATTATCTGAAAAACATCCCTATTCTAAAACACTAGCTGTTTCATACATATCAGAATATCACCACACTTCCTCAACCCACTCCATCAAAAACAAAACCGAGTAGTCGAAGTTATTGTCATTGTGGAGGCAAATATCAGTCCACCCAACAAAACCCATTTCATTTATTCTTCCACTAACATTCCAATTCATTTCATCAGCAATTCTACCTCTAAAAACAAGGAAAACCCCCCAAAAAAAAACTCTAATCCACAAACCCCAGTATTTATCATGCCATCACAAATTCATAGCTCTAGAAAATAAATAATTACATACCATCAACAATGTATAGCTCTAGAAATCAAACAACAACAACAATGTACTCAAAACGACACCGTTCCTCGAAAACGATGAAAAGGGAATTGAATTTGAATAAACTGACCTAGAAATCTGCAAGTCGCGAGGAACATCAAGAGAAACAAAGCAAAGCTCCTCCTTAACATGATCCATAATCAAAGTTTCATCCATAACATTAATAGTACGATACGAAACCAATTCCTTCAAATAATTAGTCAATACTTTACCCCCTAAATCAAGCCTCTTAACCCCATAATTAAGCGTAAAATTCTGGAAAACAGGAGCACAATGAGTGAAAGAAAACCCACAATCAACAACAAGACTACACTGGGTCTTCGAAACGACACCGTTTGGATTCCTACTAGCTACATACAAGTGAACCAAAGAAGGCGAATCAGAAACATACAAAGACCTGAAATTGAAGTCTTCGAAGACGAGCTCAAAGAGGGGTGATGACGTGGAGGAGAGAGAAAAGAGGGGGTGGGTGAGAAGAAGGGAGGACACGTGGGGGGATGGGAGTGGAAGAGAGCGAAAGAGGTGGGCCCAGATGTCGCGTTGAAGGTCGGGGTTAAGGAGGTAGCCGCGATCAATGGGGCGGCGAAGAGAGAGAGAGGTGGGGTCGGAAGAGAGGATTTCGTCGGAAGTGAGGAGTTTTTTTGAGGAGGAGAGAGAAAATGGTGGTTTGGCGGTGGAGTTTGGGGTGATTAAGGTCAGATTCCGGTCACCTCCGACGCCGATTTTTATTGTTCCGCCGCCGTTGTCGAGGACTATTACGGTTGATGACATTGTGTGAGAAGTTTCCAAGGGTTTTTTGGGGGGTTTTGGTTTTCTTTGATTGGGTTTTCCCGCGTTGGTTCTATACGAGTATGTGTTTAATACGACTACTAAGGAATGACATGTGTTACTCAATGTATATTTCGATTTGACTTTCACACTTATTAGTACTTGTAATCCGTATATGTTTGAACGGACAAAGGCCATATTTCGAAATTAGTTGGTAGCTGATCGAAGTAGCTGGTTGTATTACCTGTTTTAACTAGCTGATTGTAATAACTGGTTCAACTAGATGGTTGTAAAATGTAAATTGCTAGTTGTGTAAAAAGTGTTTGATATATATTGTTTAAAGTTAGTTGTTTAATAAAAGCTAATACAAAAGAGCTCATGTTTTGAGTTTTTCAAAAAAAATTTAAAAAAGAATTTTTTTAGCCCAAAATGCTCTCTCAAAGAGCTTTTTACCAAGCACTAAAATTAGCTTAATGATGATGGTTAACACTAATAGGCTCAATAAACTAATATCTCTCCAAAAGCTTTTTTACCAAACAACACCAATTATATTTGCATCATTTGCCTGGATAACATATAATATTATAATGTAGCCACAATGTTATAACTAGTAGATAAACTCTCCAAGTTTGAATTTTAACTAGCATGTATGTCTATAAATAGGACTAGTAGATAAATTACTCTGTATCAAAGTTCTCAAATTGATTCATTGATCTGATTGTCTCATACAACTAAACTTTGATTTTATATTACTCTTTAAAAATTATTTCATTTTCCTATCCGTATATAAGTCTCTAGCAGCTGTGCCAAAATCATCTCTTATGTGCAGACAGGATTGAATGATGCACTAATTGCAGTAAACAAATGACATGCAAATGGCAGTTTGCTACTATATTGCAGTTTCTGAAAAAAATATTACATCATGATTTATTCCATTTCTATTGAGTATACAAAGATCAAATCTGTACTAGTGTCGTGTTTCCCTTAACTGTTTCGAAACTGTAAGTACAACTACATATGAATAATGAATTCATCTCAACTATGATTAGACTATCAGTATGTTATAAGAAGTATGTACTAGACAAAAAAAGAGGCAATTTTTTTTTTGTGTTTGAGCACTTTCTCTAAGGCAGTATTTCTCACATTTCTCCAAGGGTTAGACTTAGAGCAGCCCCAAGTCATTGGACGATGTCACATGAGGCATCCTTTCCTGCAGACAAGTAGCATTGTCTGTGGTGGATCCACTAAGCACGCGACTGACTTGACCTTGCATCCCATTTGCCTCGTACTCCTGCCAAATCTTCTGTTCTTGTTGCAGCAACTGGAACTTCTTCTCGAGCTCCACTATCTGAACATAAGGAGGAGGCGGAACTGCTAGAGAAGCTTTGAATGGATCCTGATTAACCATATGAACTGGCCCTTCTGTACTCGGTAATGCCAAAACCGTATTCCTTCTCTCCTCATGCCAAGGCAATGCGAGGCTGCTAGCACTCCCACCACTCAACTGTCTTACTGCACCCTGATCATACATGTCATTCAGCATGACAGCATCAAAACTGTCACCAAAATTAACATTTGGCTTGGACAGATTACTAGCTGAAGCCACCAAAACCATCTGCCAGTCTTCATTATTGGGATTAGCAGCTGAACTTTCCCAAGCTGAAGTAATGTGTGATTCAACATTATCAGAAAATTCTTCCCACGGATTTATAACTATGTCGTTTTGATCCTCGTGGAACAAAGACAATGCCATACATTCGCCTTTCTCCTCAGCTGATGGCGCATCACTATTAACCTTCAAGATCACCATGTCTTTTCCTATGGCATCAGAATCCTGAACACAACCATTCATAGCATTTACATTGTTCACTGACACCTTATTCATCAGTTCTGCCATCTTCGAACTACTCTTCTTAAAACTCTTCGTTTCATTCATCCTTTTCTTGACAAACTCCTCCATTGACCTCAAAAGATCTTCACTAATACTCTCAACCTCAGGATACTCATCAGACGGCTTATTAAACCCAACACCCTTACACCAACCATAGAACTCAGCAAGATCATCAAACTGCTTCGCGACAGTAGCATAAGTCCCATAAGTCTTAACAGAATTAAGATACTCCATCTCCCAGAAACAATCTGACAAGAATGACAGACCCCCAGATACATCATCATACAGAACAAAACTGTCCTCAACCACAGGAGTAAGTGCAAGAAACAGTAGCTCTTTGTACTTCCCATTAACGCACCTCGAACATCGAATGTTAAGCACTCGTTGAAGACACCTTTGCAATCTCTCCATCCTACTCAACACCTTCTCAAGTAGTAACTCATCCCTCAAATGATTTTCCTCCATTTTCTTCTCCCTTTCCTCCATTCTCCTCAAATCATCAGAAGAATTCACTTTTCTTCTCAGCCACATTTCGTCGAACACCATCAGCTCAACTTTCTTTACAAGAAACATCCCAAAATTCCTCACAAAATCAGAGTAATCCCCAGAATTTGAATGCGCTTCATCTCTAAAAACACACATATTACTCAACATTCTACCACTAGCATTAGCACAAGCAATCTCCTTCACAAAATTCCTCCCACCATCAATAATCAATCGATAAACAAGAATCAAACACTTTAAAGCAACAAAACAATCATGGGTTTTCTCAATTCTTTTCGAAATCAAACACACACATTCTTTAACAAGATCTCTTGAAATCATTGTTTTACGCAAGATTTCAGTAAAGTATCTGATTTTGGGGATATGGGTGTCGTGATTTGTTGCTTTGACGATCAAGATATCAAGTTCTGGATCAACATTATTCGCCATTTTTGCAATACTAATGCTTGTTCGATCCTTTACTACTCCAATTGCTTTACGAAATGAAGTGGGTGCCATTGAATTTTCTTGTTTGATGAAAAAATTTTATGGGGTTAGGATTAATTTCATTGAGGAAGAAAGGGTTTTTGGAACTTTTTCTGCAGAAATTTTAAACAGAGGAAACAGATAGAGCGCGGCAAATGGTGCATAAGAAAGAGGAATTGTAACTGACCAAATGCCCAAATTAGTTTTTTTTGTCATGCTAAATAATTGCGTCAATACAAGTCAAAAGTTGAGTCGGATATTTTTCAAATTGGGTCTGATTTTGGCACCTTTAAAGCCTTGTTTGGTTCACCTTATTTTTACTAATCTGGTCTGGTCTGGTCTGGTCTGATATGATCTGATCTGATCTGATCTGATTGTCTGATTTGACCTTTGACCTCAAGTGTACGATAATATATAAGGAAAAAATATATCAAGTGGGATCTTGTTAGATTCGTAATAAGGTGTAGTTTATTAATATGTAATTTTCACAATTTTTTTCATTACGAAATTAAGAATATTTATTGATAAAAAACCGCACATAAAACAATGTTCTGATCTGAACTTATTTTTTCTGATCTGATCTGAACTTATTTTTTCTGAAATAAGTAAAAATAAGTTGAACTAAACAAGACCTAATTTTAAGCAGCTACAAATACTTGAGTTCAGACTTCAAACAAAACTAATTATGGATGTGTTTAGTTAGGAGGTTTTTGGAAGTAAAAAATGTTTAACCAATTTAAAATTTTATTTGGAGTGTTTGGTAAAGAGATGTTTAAAATATTTTGTTTGATCCAAAAACCTCAAACAAGGAATTTTTTTAAAAGAATTTTTTAGTTTTTCGGTGGATTAGCAATTATTTACCAAATAATTTTACGCAAATGATTTATGATTAATAACCATCACGTAACAAAATATTTAATAAAAACAACTAACGGTACGGCTAACATCTAGTCAAAATAGCTAACAATTAAAAAGCTAATTGTCGTTGTCACAAAAACAAAAACAAAAACAAAAACAAAAAAAAAAAAAAAAACCCTAATTGTCAAACAAAGCCTATATTAAAGTTTATAACTCTTAACTAAATTGAGTATGTTGATGTACGAAGCTTTGATCTCACTTTTAAAGTATGGTCAATCTTGCCAAATAATACATTTAAGTGTCCCATTTTCCTATAGTTGTAAAGCTAGGAGTGTTAAACACATTAAAATTTTATCCATACACTTTTATAATGGAACCTATTTGGACTTGTGAAGTGAACTTCTTCAACTGATGGACACAGCTCAAACCCAACTGGAACATGTGCATTTAAGTCTTTTTAACCCTATACTCCCTCCGTTTTTTGTAAGTGTCCTATAGTGACATGACACGCATGCCGATACAAAATTTTGACTAATAATATCTTTAATTATCATTAACTAAAAATTATAACAATTAAATATTAATTATCACCCATTGAGACGATTCTAACAAGTACCCATAAAACTATATTTTTTCTTATATATAATTCACAAACATTGGTCAAAATGTGTTTAATGAATAGTGCCAAAATCCCCAATGAGGCACTTAAAAAAAACGGAAGGAGTATGATTTATTCCCATCGCACCTGACTACCTGAGATAGGTTAACTTAAATCATCTGCAAATGCTAAGCTTTTGGACAACCATAAGCTCCCACCAATATGTCATACCAAGAGCACCATAAAAAACAACGCAACTCTTCACCCTTAACAATGAAATTATGAAAACAATCAATGTCTCCTCTCTTTAGCACTGACCAATTTTTAAGCATCTATCTATATATATACTATACTAAAAGACAAGCACTTCAATATGAGATTGACAAATGTCACTCCCTCATTTGCTTATCTTGTATATATATATATATATATATATATATATATATATATATATATATATATATATATATATATATAGGGTCGAGATCCGGTGAGAACCACCTCCTATGTGAGAACTCATCCCATATGTGAGAACAAATCTCAGCCATTAGATTGTATTAATCCAACAGCTGAGATTGTTCAACTAATAATGGCAATAATGTAATTCTTAAAACAAACAAATCAGCCCCCAAAACCCAAATTACGTACAATTTGTATACTCCTCTTTCTCTCTCTTTAAAGCTTGAAGGTGGGATTTCTCTCTCCTCTTCTTCACTACTGCATAATTTCAAGTTCCGAATTGATTTCACTTATTCGAATTTCTCTTAATTTGATTTTAATTTTGATAATTTCAATTGAATTCCCAAACTTCTTGTTCTGATTTTTGTAATTTTGATAATTTCAAATCATCTTCTTCCAATTTTGATAAGTTCAAAACAACTTGAAGGTGGGATTACAATGGAGATTAAAAATTGAAGATCGGCGATTTGTTTCCAGAATCAT